TAGAAGAAAGTATTCTTGTGTTGAGGGAGTACTTGAGTGGAGGCCTAATGTCCTTCTGCTACCTTAATACTAAACCTATAAATGTAGGCTCATAGATCTATTTCCCCATCCTCACATAAATATATTCATACAATGCCTTCTTTAGATTAGATTAGACAGTTAAACAATATATCCATGAAAACATTATCTGACTTTAGGTCTAAAGAAGAACCTTAGAATAATCTCTACTGTAAGCATACTTAAAGACTTGCTGGGGAAATGTCCTGCCAATTCTATTTTGATTAGAGTATAGCAGAGTAAACACATTTGGGCTCATTTTACTATGCCATGCAGGGTAGCTCTGAGCGAGATTCCACTGAATGGCGCCCAAGAGCAACTGCAGAAACAACAACAGTTTTCAAATTATGTTTATTAGCAAAATGATCAAAAGCAGTCATTTACTTCTAACAATACACGAGCGACTGAAGAATGAGGGTATGGCAGGAGAGGGAGACCTGGTCCAGTTGTCACTTGTCTCTTCTCTCTTTATGGGCCGCTCTGAGCCATTTTTGGAACATGATTTCTCAGAGCGTCTCCTAGACTCCACCTCAGAATATGAAGTTTGTGTTGTTAAATACCAGAAACTAAAGAAGTTTCTTTCTTCAATTCTGGCAACTACTCTTTCTCTGAAAGATCAGTCCTTTTACACCTATGTTCCCTTCTGTTCTACCTTTACCTCAATGCCCGTATTTCTAGAACCTTCACTAACATGCCTACTTTTCTCTTCTCGGTCTGTCAGAGCATCCTTCTCAACGCTCTGCCCAGAGATCATTTCATTCTGCCTCTCCCTTGTCATTTTGTGGTTGGAGAAGGTGAAGTCCACCTGTGTGTTTCTGAACAGAACACGTTTTTTATTCTGCATTATGACCAGGAGCAGATTTATTAGATTAAGCAGTTTTCATCTTTTGAGGACTATTTTCTTGGGTTTGCAGTAAAACATGAAAACACAAAAAGCCAGGAAAACAGACACAAGAAACTATTAGACAATCTTTGGATCATTAGCTGGGGAGATCATGTTTGTAGTCTTACAGAAAGCCTAGGAATCCTCATTGCCATCAAGTTGATTCCACTCATATCCATCTTACCGGATAGAGGAGACCTACCCCTGTAGGTTTTAGAGACTCCCAGGGGTACAAAGCCTAGTCTTCTTCACTCAAACTGGCTGCTGGTTTTGTACTGCTGGATTTTTGTGAGGAGCTTAACTTGTAACCACGGTTGTCAATTATTTTGTTGCATAATTAGCGTTAATTCTTCTGTTATCAGGCATTTTCAGAAGGACCATCGGAGTTCCACAAATATCGGAAATGCCTTATCCCTGCAGATTCTGTGCTGAATTGCTCATGCAGTGCCACTCTCCTCCATGGACCCTCGCCTCTACATTTGCCTCTGGTGCTTCCTAGCCGTACTCTTCATGGAGGGGATCAACGAGACTGCGGTGAGAGAGTTTGTCTTCCTGGGCTTCTCGTCACTGGCTGAGTTGCAGCGGCTGCTTTTCGTTGTCTTCCTGCTCCTCTACCTCTTTACCCTGGGCACCAATGCCCTCATCATTTCCACCATCGTGCTCGACAGGGCCCTCCACACCCCCATGTACTTCTTCCTCGCGGTCCTCTCCTGCTCTGAGACCTGCTACACTTTTGTCATTGTACCCAAGATGCTGGTTGACCTGCTGGCCCAGAGGAAGACCATCTCCTTCCTGGGCTGTGCCATCCAGATGTTTACTTTCCTCTTCCTTGGCTGCTCTCACTCCTTCCTGCTGGCAGCCATGGGCTATGATCGCTATGTGGCCATCTGTAACCCACTGCGCTACACAGTGGTCATGGGGCACGGGGTGTGTGTGGGACTAGTGGGTGTTGCCTGTGCCTGTGGCTTCACTGTCTCCTTGGTCACAACATCCCTGGTGTTTCACCTGCCTTTCCATTCCTCCAACCAACTGCATCACTTCTTCTGCGACATCTCCCCGGTTCTCAAGCTGGCATCTCACCGCTCCCGACTGAGTCAGATAGTCATCTTCCTGCTTGGCGTGTTTGTCCTGGTTATTCCACTGCTACTCATCCTGGTCTCATACATTCGCATCATTTCTGCCATTCTGAAAATCCCGTCCTCTGTGGGAAGATATAAGGCCTTCTCTACCTGTGCCTCCCATCTCATTGTGGTCATTGTTCACTATGGCTGTGCCTCTTTCATCTACTTAAGACCCAAGTCCAATTACTCTTCAAGCCAAGACACTCTGATCTCTGTTTCTTATACCATCTTCACTCCAGTCTTCAATCCAATGATTTACAGTCTAAGAAACAAGGAATTCAAATCAGCACTTCGACGAACAATTGGCCAGACATCATTTCCTGTTAATTAAAGAGCCAATTGTGACTACTCAGTTAACTGCCTATTCTGTGCCTAGAAAAATGTGGACATTTACAAACTTTCTCATGTACGTTTTCAACTGCACTGCAACACAAGGCCATTTTTGCATAAGTATGATAAGGCTCAAAGAAGACACTTTGCCTTTGTACTTTTGTTAGCACTTTCTCTGACTTGGCTCTGTAGATGTGAGAAGGGATTGCTCAGTTTCTGAAACAGATTTCATTAGCGCTTGGTGCTTTACATGTTGGTTTTTCAAAAACTAATAAGTCATATGACAGCATATATTTACTCAAGTTGGCTAGTTGCACGGAACAGAAACAGGAAACCTATATATCTTTCCCTTTCTATTTTCAGTTCTCCTTTTCCTGAAAACAGCAGGAAACTGTGGCCCCACCCATTCTATAACAAATCTTGGTGTGCTATATTCACCCTTTCCAACTGTGTTTTAAAATAGTTTTGACCATCTGCCTTTACTTACTTTTGTGCTATTCTAGCTTTGGCTAAGATAATAACCTCTTTCCTCTTGTCTCCTTTGTATATAATTATCTTCCGTACCATGGTATGAGTCATCTTTAAGGTACTAGCAAAATCTCATGTAACTCTAAGCAAAAGGAATTGAGTAAATATCGATGGGGTAGAAATCTAGAATTCTGGAAAGGTTAAAAAAAATCTATAGGAAAACCATTCAGTGACTCTCTTTGCTCTCTAGGGTCAATCCCAGAATACCTGGCTAGCAGACAATTAATCATATAGCCTCTGACTGCCTACCCTCCATTCCCCATATGACCTTGGCTGTGCACCCTGAGGAAGTCTCTGGGTGGTACAGATCATATAACTGCTAACAGAAAGGTTGGCAGTTTGAGTCTTTCTCAGACTGCCTCAAGCATACCTCAGAGCTAGATGTGGTGATCTACTCTTGAAAAAGCAGCCATTGAAAATCTTGTGGAGAACAGTCCTTTTTTTGCCTGCCTGGGTTGGAATAGATGCCACTTCAGCTGGTGACTGGTGCACTGTGACTATCAGTTATTTGCAGTATCCACCATATTTTCTTCACGTGCAATTTGTTCTCTTTTATGAGTTCTTTTCTTTATTTAACTTATATATTTCTAGTCGTATTTTAAGATGATCTCAGCCATCACTTTCTCACCAAAACCTCCCTTGATTTTTTGTTTCATTTTACTTGTGAGATTAGTTTCTATTTTCTTTGTTTACTTATTGCATTTTGCCCTATCTTTATTATATTTCTTATTATTTCAGCATATTTTTCCATTATTTAATATGTGCCAGAGACTACTTCATTTAATGGAAATCAAGGTTGAATTAAGTGTGCATGCTCTCAAATTTTATAAACTTTTGACTTGGCTTTAAAAAGTCCCAATAAACACATAAACTCAAGGAAGAAACTTTACCAAAGGTCAGAGTACGGGCTACAGGAAAAAGAGATTTGGAGAAGAAATGCTAAAAGATACCAAATTTTAACTAGATGTTGCAAGTCTGTCTCCTTGAAGAATTGACATTTAAGCTGAAAACTGAAGGATGGATAAGTCATCAGGTAAAGGAGACTGTGGAGAGAGAAGGGATCATTTGAGATAGAAGAAGCCAAATGCAAAAATCCTTGAAGCAGAAAGAAGTTGGATGAATTGGAGGTAAGCAAAGAGAGCTAGGCTGACCGTTATTCAGGAAGTATTCCTCCTAGAGTTCTAGTTCGTACATGCCTGGGTTCACTCCAAACAAAACACGTTTAAACATGTACTGTGATCCATGGCAGACTACATGAAGTTCTCTCAGGAATAGACTTAGTCTTCTTAGGGTGCCTTCTAAAAAAGAGGTCCTTCAAAAAAGCCATCAGAGCAGGGGCGTCTGCGGGGCTGTGCTAGGTTAGTGAAAGTCAAGGCAGAGAGCTCAGCTTAGGTAGTAACTGCGACTGTTAGTTTTTGAGGGAGAGGATTTTAAAGAGTGTAATTTTGATAGATTTTCTCAAAGGGCACAGAAATCCTGGGGTCTAATTGGGAATAAAGTTTAAGAAAATTGAAAACGACATTAGTGAGTAAAAGGTCAAATTGAACAAGGAAGATTTTTCATTATGCCAATTGATCTGCTCAGAATTCAAGGGTAGCAAGGGACATCCTATGAACACCTGGTGGAGTAACATTTCTCTATTCACTTGACACCCTTACTCCCTTACATTTTTGTTGGTGTGCAAATTAAAAAAACTTTTAAAGACAACACAACCTGTGTCTTTCAAAGATGCCCAAAGTGCCATTTGGATGTGTAACTCAAGGAGCACAGAAATTTCTGGAGTAGAATTAGAGAGATGGGAACACCAACCTCAGTGGTGTATAGATCAAAGATGGAAGATTGAGAAACTTTCTGTTTTGTTCAATAAAGGTTTCTATGATTTTTTGCAATAACTTTTGACTTACTCTCATACAACTGTTTCTCAATCCCCCTTAACTCTTTGTCTCCATGTATAATGACTATTAACTTTCTATAAACATGGGTTTTGTATTCATTGCCCTGGTAGCATAGTGGTTATGCATTGGGTTGCAAATCACAAGGTCAGCAGTTTGAAACCACCAGCCACTCTGCAGGAGAAAGATGAGGCTTTCTACTCCTATAAAGAGTTACCTCTGGCAGTTCTACTCTGGCCTATTGGGTCATTAAGAGTAAGAATTAACTCAATAGCAGTGAGTTTGATTTGAATTTTGAAGCAACCTTGTCCACCCTGTTCCTTGTTTGGTAACTGACATGAAACAGATAACATGTTTGTCTTATTAATGACCTTGTCTGTAATTGGAAAGCAGTTATATAGGGAATTTGCTTTCTAACTCATTATCTGTGTTTTCAATGAACTATCTGGCCCACATCTCTAGAAAGAAAGTTCTAATCATCTGATAATCAAAGCCTCGTCATTTCTCCTTGGTATTGCCGTAAAAACCTCAAGTTTGATTGTCCCCTGTCCATTTTTCACATTACTGCCAGGGTGATCTAAATTATTAGAACAGTGTTTTGCATATGGTGGACACTATTTAAACATTGACTATCATTTTCATTAACATCATCTTCCTCCTGAAACTTAAATTTCATCAGATCATGCCCTATATTAAAAAATAATAGATTTGTTGAGTTATGGTGTTGGTAAAAAATATTGAAATTATCGTGGTCTGCTAGAAGAGCAAAGGAATTCATCTTGGAAGAAAAGCAGCCAGAATGTTCCTGAGAACGGAGGTTGCTGAGATTTCACATGCATCCTGTATTTTGGCTCTGTGATTAGGAGAGCCCAATCCCTGGAAAAGGATATCGTGCTTGGTAAATTAGAGGAAGTAGATTGATACAGTGGCTGCAACAATGGGCTCAAACATCATAAACAGGTGAGGATGATGCAGGCCCAGGTAGTGTCTTGTTTTATTATCCGTGGGGCTGCTAGGAGTCAAGACCTGAAGAAACCTACTGACCAAATGCATAGAGTGGTCGTTTGTGTTGTTGACAGAGATATTTGCTATGAACAAGTCATTGGTCTTCCAAAATTCTGCCATGCAATCTCCAACGTCATTTCTATCATTAAGACCATATTTTCCAACTACTGTTCCTTCCTCTTTGCTTTCAACGTTTACCTTTCAATATCCAGTAATTATCAACGCATCTTGATTGCATATTTTAACAACTTCAGTCTGAAGACATTGGTAGAATTCTTCAGTATCCCTATCACTGGCTTTGGTGGTTGGTACATACATTTGAATAATAATTATATTGATTGGACTTCCCTGAAACAGATAGATATAATCCTATCACAGGCAATATTTTACTTCAAGGTAGACCTGTAAATATCCTTTTGGACAATGAATGCAACACTGTTCATCTTAATTGTGTCATTCCCAGAACAGTGGCCCATATAATCTCCCAATTTAAAATGCCCAATAGCAGTCCATTTCATATGAGTAACACCTAGGATATTTATCTTTATTCATTCCACATCATTTTTGACAAGGTCAATTTTTCCTAGGTTCGTACTTGGTACATTCCAAGCTCCAATTGTGATTAGGTATTTGTAGTGGCCTATCATACTTTGACTTGAGTCCCATCAGCAAGTGAAGACCCCCAAACTGCATACTCGCAGGCATAAATTACTCCATTTGCAGCACCGTGGTGACTACTGTGAGAGAGCAGCTCCTTACCCATCACACTTCTAGACCCCTCTTCTGGCGCTATCTGTGACAATGCTCTACTTCCATTCACCAGGCCTTCAGTCGCTGACAATGATCTCAAGCTCTGCATAAGGCTTGTAGGGGCTACTTCCTATGAAGTGGGCAGCTGATTCCTGCTTTGTAGTCTGTTTTTAGTCCAGAAGCTCTGCCAAAATGTGTTCACAGTGGGTGGCCCTTCTGGCATTTGAAATATCAGTTGTTGGAGATAAACAGATTTTTCCCCAGCTTTGTCTCACCCAAAGATATGGCAAACCTAAGAGGCTGTTTTCCAGCCCATGGTGGGAGGTCAAATGCTTAGAGACATTCTCCCTGAAGTCATTCAGCCATCCAGAGCAATCAGACTACTGCCTGGTCCACTGTAGGTAAGGTTGAGACCCTATTGATAAGATAGTGATTGTTCCTCTGGAGAGCTTAGAACAGGACAAACCTGTTCATTGACATCCAAAGTTAGGCCGCCATCCTGAATCTAGGATCATCCCATCTTACCACATGCATACCCCCAATCCCTCCCTTTCCCATTGAGCGTATACTTTAGATTTACCCCTGATTATTGTATTACTATAGTACAGCCCCTTCCTCTGACATATGTCTTTTCCTGTAATCAGGGGCCTTGCATGTCCCCCAAAGATATATAAACCTTGGTTAGAAATGAATCGCTCTCTCTCCTGCCATTGCCACCTTCCACATCGCCAGGTGGACCAACAAGCACGGCTGAGATGAGCATGCTACCATGAAATGTGTCTGACTCCTTCATTTTACTTTCTCTCTTATTCTCTATGACTTTACT